AAACGCTGCATTAAGCATCCCTGTAACCCTAACAGTAAACCTAACCAATGTAAACCTAACCCCTTAATTACATTCTCATTCCTCTTTGTGAAAACTTCCCCCCTACCCTGAAAAATACAAACATGATAGCCTTCTAATCCTTACAGGGGCTAAACAGCTACAGCCACTTGTGTGTAGGAATTTCTATTGAGGTGCCTAATGGTTTATGATGAGGGGAGGACTGACAACTCATGGGGCCCCCAGGCAATAGGGGATCATGGGGCCCCTGTGTCCTCGCCCACACTCAAACCACACCCAAAAAATCCTATGAAAGGTACCAGGGACATCTCATGAGGCCCCCTACTGACCCCGGGCCCTCGGGCAGTGCCCGAGTTCCCCAATGGCCAGTCCGCCCCTGTTTATGATTAATCCCTTTACTCCTTTTTCTAGTGCCTATGGATACATCTGGAGGAATGACATCTAGGTTAGGACAGTGGGTTTTTATGAACCCCTGTAGACCTGTTCTGCTGCCTGGTCCACTTTCAATTGTCTAGAGTGCTCTCGATGAGCTCAGTCTCTAAAATGATCACTTCAAGCAGCACCAGTGTGTTTTGGGTATCACACCCACCTCCATGCTCTGATAGAACAAAGTCTAAACTTCTCTAATGCAGGGCTGTCCAATGCAAAACTGCGGCCCGCCGAGGCCACTTATTCGGCCCGCCAGCAGGAGCGTATTTGCCGCAAGGAAGGGACACTAAGTACAGGGGCGGCAGGGGGCTGCTATATCTTACTTGGCTCCGGTCCCAGTCCCACGACGATCCAGTCCAGGAAGCGCTGCTCCTTCATTCACTCCGGCCACTCCCTCACTCGATGTTCGCGCTGCCGCTTGGCTCCGCTTCCTCACTGGTGATTGGGCGCCAGAACTGTAGCTCAGGAAAGGCACACAGGTGGCCAATCATCTGCGAAGAGGTGGAGCCGAGCGGCCTCGCGAACATCGAGTGAGGGAGAGGCCGGTGTGAAGAAGGACAGCTGACAGGTGCTGTGCAGATGGTGCTGCTGCAACCAGGTATGCTGGCTGCAGCAGCACCATGCTGGAGTAGGGGTCAGCAAGTTAAGTGTCATTGGTGTCAGTGGGAGGAATAGTGACCCATCATTGGTGTCACTGATACTAATGATGGGGCATTATTCCCCCCCACTGACACCAACGATGGGGCACTATTCCCCCCCCCACTTACACCAACGATGGGGCAATATTCCTCCCCCCCATTGACACCAACGATGGGGCACTATTCCACCCCCACTGACACCAATGATGGAACACTATTCCTTCCCACACTGACACCAATGATGGGGTACTATTCCTCCCACTGACACCAATGTTGGGACATTATCCCCCCCCCACTGACATCAATGACCGGGTACTATTCCCCCCCCACTGACACCAATGACGTACTATTCCTCCCACTGACACCAAAGATGGGGCACTATTCTTCCCACTGACATCAATGATGGGACACTATTCCTCCCACTGACACCAATGATGGGACACTATTCCTCCCACTGACACCAATGTTGGGACACTATCCCCTTCCCCCACTGACACCAATGACGGGGCGCTATTCCCCCCCCCCCACACTGACACCAACGATGGGGCACTATTCCTCCCCTCACTGACACCAACAATGGGGCACTATTCCTCCCCCCACTGACACTAATGATGGGGCACTATTCCTCCCACTGACACCAATGATGGGGCACTATTCCTCCCACTGACACCAATGATGGGGCACGATTCTTCCCACTGACACCAATGATGGGGCACTATTTCTCCCACTGGCACCAATGATGGGCACGTTTCTTCCCACTGACACCAATGATGGGGCACTATTCCTCCCACTGACACTAATGATGGGGCATGATTCTTTCCATTGACACCAATGTTGGGGCGCGATTCCTCCCACTGACACCAATGATGGGGCACTATTTTGCTCCAAAAGACACACTTGGGAGGAAATGTCTGTGCGTCTTATGGAGCGGCCAGCCCAGTATTCCCACCGCCGTTGTATGTCCGCAGTCTCTGGTCATCTCCTGTACTGTTTCTGCAATTGTTCATAGTTTTTTTTTTAAAACTATAGTCCGGCCCTCCAACAGTCTGAGGGACAGTGAACTGACCCCCTGTTTAAAAAGTTTGAGGACCCCTGCTCTAATGTCTACTGCAAAATCTGTCATGATTAACTTTGACCTTTCTAAAGGTCCAACAATGTTAACCTTTGCTCCTATCTACCCAACCCATGCTTATTTTTATCACCAGTTTAATTTGTATCTAGAACATTCTCAGTGAGTTCATTCTCTGGAGTGATCACACCAAGTGGCACCAGTGTGTTTTGGGTATCACACCCACCTCCATGCACCAATGAAACAAAGTCCAAACCTCCAGTGTCCACCAGCAAAATGGATCCAATGTTGGAAAGTACTTGGTTTTAAAATTTTCTCTTTCTAATCCTTACAGAGGGCATACAGCTCTAGTCAATTGTGTGTAGGAGTCTGCCAGCAGATTGAGATGCGTGACAGTGGTCAATTAATGATGTTTGACCTTTTATCAGTTCCTATGGGTACATATAGAGCAGTGACATTGAGGTTAAATGGACTTGCGTGAACCCCTATCCACCTGTTCTGCTATCTGGTCCATTTTCAATTGTGTCTAGGACATTCTCAATTAGCTCAGTCTCTGAAATAATCACACCAAGTGGCACCAGTGTGTTTTGGGTATCATGCCCACCTGCATGCACCAATGGAAAAAAAGTCCAAACATCCAATGTCTACCAGCACAATGAATCCAATGTTGAAATTTACTAGGTTTTAAAATTTTCCCTTTCTAATCCTTACAGAGGCCATACAGCTCCAACCATTTGTGTGTAGGAGTCTGCCACTAGATTGAGGTGGCTGACAGTGGTCAGTTAATGCCTTTTGACCTTTTATCAGTGCCTATGGGTACATCTAGAGAAATAACAATTAGGTTAAGTTGATGGGCTGGTGTGAACCCCTATCCCCCTTTTCTGCTGCCTGGTCCACTTTAATTGTGTCTAGAATGCTTTTAATGAGCTCAGTCTTTGGAATGATCACACCAAGCAGCACCAGTGTGTTTTGGGTATCACACCCAATCTGTGCACCATTGGAACAAAGTCCAAACCTCCAATGTCTACAGAAAAATCTGGCAGGAACAACTAAAGGTCCAGCGAACCTGACCTTTGTTCTGTCTACCCAACCTTGCACATTTTGATCACCACTTTCAATTGTGTCTAGAACGCTCTCAATGAGCTCAGTCCATGGAATGATCACATCAAGTGGCACCAGTGTGTTCTAGGTATCACACCCACCTACATACACAATGAAAAAAGGTCCAAATCTCCAAAGTCTACTGCAAAATCTGTCAGGATTAACTTTGACCCTTTTGAAGGACCAGCAATGCTGACCTTTGCCCCATCTACCCAACCCTTACCTATTGTGATCACCACTTTCAGTTGTTTAGAACACTCTTAATGAGCTCAGTCCCTGGAATGATCACAGCAAGTGGAACCATTGTGTCATGGGTATCCATGCAACAAAGTCCAAAGCTCCAATAACTACTGCAAAATCTGGCAGCACAACTTTGACCCTTCTAAAGGACCATCAAGCTTACCCAACCCTTGCCCATTTTGATCACCACTTTCTGTTAGGTCTAGAACACTCTTAATATGCTCAGTCTCTGGAATTATCACATCAAGTGATGCCATTGTGTATTGGGTATCAGGCCCACCTCTATGCACCAACGAAACACAGTCCAAAGCTCCAGTATCTACTGCAAAATCTGTCATGATAAACTTTGCAACCCTTCTAAAGGACCAGCAATGCTGACCTTGGTCTGTCTACCCAACCCTTGCCCATTTGCTTACCAACAGGTTCCTCTTACAGTTAATTTGCATATTACAACTTTCAAGGATTAATAAAAAACACATTAACACACATGAACATCTACTGGGATCTGATTTAGACTAATAAAGCCTCCAGTTTGTTTCATATCCTGTTCTGCTGTTCCATTAAACTGTGATTATTTTATACCGAGCCGGAGGGATGGCAGCTCAGCATCTGTCCATATTTTGCTCAGAATCGCTCGCTGCAGGAATTCTCTGTGGGACAGTCAGTCTTGCGTCCTGAGAATTACCCTCCTGGGTTTTACACTCATGACAGCTAAGCCTGGGCCTCCACCGTCTTCTTAGATTCTGCAATTAGAATTCTGCCTCAGCAAGCCACTTCTACTTCACAACAGGTCCACATACTTTGTTGAAATGATTATAATGAGCAGGCATATCAATATCAAAAGAGTGCTGAATTGTGTGGAATCATTTCATAGAGGGCCCATTACTTCTACTAAGAGACACTCTGCTGGAAATAGAAAAACAGGTACTTAAAGGGAATGTATGGTCTCTTCAATGATTTTATAGATATAAAGGAATCAGCCTACAATACACTTACCAATGTGTGTTAAAGCTGTAGTTTAATCTGCTTAGTTTTTACCTTCCCTGGTTCTCCATTTACCCCTCATCAACATGCTAATACATTTTGAAAACAAAATCTTTTGATTTTTACTGCATCACGTTTTTCTTTTTAGAGCCAGTGATGTCATCACTAGGTCTCTGTGCTTCCCTCTATAAAGCAGGCTGGTTGCTGTATACAGATAATGTATATAGCTTCCTGGAAACACCGCAGTAATGTGCTTCAGTCAGGGGCGGACTGACCATTTGGAAACTCGGGCACTGCCCGAGGGCCCGGGGTCAGTAGGGGGCCCTATGAGATGCCCCTGGTACCTTTTTCAAAGGCTTTTTTGAGTTTGGGAAAGGACACAGGGCCCCCATGATCCCCTATTGCCCGGGGGCCCCATGAGTTGTCAGTCCGCCCCTGGCTTCAGTACTCAAGAGCCCTCAGCCCTGATACAAGCATTTGGTGCACACAAAGTGGATTTATATCCTTAGTGGCTAATGAAGAAAATATTCCATTCAAAGTGTAGTCAGGCCAGCGGCATCTTTGTCTCTGCAGCCAAATGACCCCAGGCTCTGACAGGGCCACCCACCCACACAGGGGCGGACTGACCATTTAGAAACTACTCATTGTATCCAGTGACTCTGTTCCAGGCACCCCAGAAGAGAGAGGAATCTTCATGTTGGACTCCAAAGTAGTGATCAGCACTTGGCCACCATCTTGGAAACATTCCTGCTTAAAAGGACATTACCACCTCCCTTTCTTAGATCCCAGAGATGTGTTTTTTTGGAGAGTTTCCCCTTTCTAGTAGGGATTACAAAACTCTGCTTAGAGTGCTCCACCGTAGATCTTGAGCCCCAATGCTTCCAATGAACAGAAGAGATACTGTTTTCCTATTTCTCTGTCTATGTGGGACCTTGCTGAAGTTGTGGTATTCAGATATGTGTTGCTCAGGGGCGGACTGACCATTTGGAAACTCGGGCACTGCTCAAGGGCCCGGGGTCAGTAGGGGGCTCCATGAGATGCCCCTGGTACCTTTTTCATAGGCTTTTTTGAGTTTGGGTAAGGACACAGTGGCCCCATGATCCTCTATTGCCCGGGGCTCCATGAGTTGTCAGTCCACCCCTGGTGTTGCTGTGGGAGTGCAAGGCTGAGCGTGCTGCAGGAGAGAGTGTCTGTATCCAGGGCTTCTGCTGGTTAGTCAGGACTACTACCATTACCCTGAGAGATTGTCAGACTCAGCCTCCCCCTTTTATCCAGTGACTCTGTTCCGGACACCCCAGGAGAGAGAGGAATCTTCATGTTGGACTCCAAAGTAGTGAACAGCACTTGCCCACCATCTTGGAAACATTCCTGCTTAAAAGGACAGTACCACCTCCCTTTCTGAGATCCCAGAGATTTGTTTTTTTGGAGAGTTTCCCCTTTCTAGTAGGGATTACAAAAACTCTGCTTAGAGTGCTCCACCGTAGATCTTGAGCCCCAATGCTTCCAATGACGACACTAGTTTGGGTGACCCTGGTGACGTACAGAAACACGTCAGCGTGCTTTTTATGCCATTCCTGTATTACCGATAAAGTTTTCATAAGGATTTCGGAGTTTGACGGTTTTTTCCTGTTTCTGTATATTGCATCCAGTGCTGAGAGGATGCTTCAGAGCCTGAGCACCCGGGTTGGATCCCATTACTTTAATCAAGGCGTGTTTCCTGTTTGAGCGCTGCCTCTCTGCTATTCTACTTGACCCTGGTGACACCCCAGGATTTCCTCTCGCTTCCTGTTTTGGCTATGGGACAGGGAGTACTGAGAAAATCTCCTCAATGGGACACAGATAGCAAGATTAGGGTCCATAAGGTCTAGTCTGTGCATTGAACCAGGTTGATGGGTACCCAGGGGCGGACTGACCATCCAAGCACTTGGGCACTGCCCTAGGGCCCGGGGTCAGTAGCGGGCCCCATGAGATGCCCCTGGTACCTTTATCATAGGCTTTTTTGAGTTTGGGCAAGGACACAGGGGCTCCATGATCCCCTATTGCCCGGGGGCCCCATGAGTTGTCAGTCTGCCCCTGCACCCACAGCGATGTTATCCTCCTCTCCCTCTGCCGCTATTGGAATATACAGCCATGCAGATGTAGGTAGGTGCAACTTGGCCATCATTCAGTAGGTGGCGCTGTGTCATTATACAGATATAGCTATTTGTAGTAGGAGATTGTTCCTTGTGAGACTCTGTAGTTGTCACAGAGGTCGCAGCTGTCTGATTGGATGCTGCAACCTCTGATGACCTCTGGCAGCCATCTTGGTGTGGGACTCTATAAATTAGGGTGCCATGCCGTTCACTATTGAGAGGAGAGTGAGTGAAGGAGGCCCACCCACCGCCAGCCTGCAGAAACAGACACACAGAGCCAGGCAGAACCTATCAATCACGGATAGAAAGCTGCTATGCCCAGATATGTTCCCCACAGAGGTGGACTCTTGGTGCTCTGGCTCTATGTGTCTCCCCAATCACAATCACAGCTTCAGAATGAAAATTTGAAGAGCCGGCTAAACCTCTTCCCAAATGATTATCTTTATTGTAACGAGTAAGAAGTACAGCTTAAATTTCTTACGCGTTTCGGCGATGAGCCTTAATAAGCCTTGGCTATGATTAAGGCTTATCGCCGAAATGCATGTCATTTTATCTGTATAACTTACTCATTACAATAAAGGTAATCATTCGGGAAGATGAGTAGCCGGCTCTTCAGATCTTCATTGTAGAGCCTATCAATGGCTTCAGCCACAGCTTTAGGAGGAAGGCCAATCCCATCAGTCAGAAGATGCAATGCATGCCGGGGAATGTAGTCCCCAGGGGAGCAGCCCGAATAAGGGTTTACAAGTCCTAAGATCCGGGATTGACTAGGAAGGAGAAGAGGACAGGAAATCCCGTGCTGAAGGGATGGACTCATGTGAGAGTCAGAAGAGATGGTTGTGCTGTGGGAAGCTCCTACTGCTCCTGAGAGACTGTGGTGCTTTGCTCTGTTGCTGCAGGGGGACTGAACCACTGCAACTTCCAGAGACCACTGCTGCCGTAACCATACCCTGGAGCTGAGGAACCCATGAGGCTGCGGGTGGAGGATTATGTACCGTTGTTGATGAGATACTGTTTTCCTATTTCTCTGTCTATGTGGGACCTTGCTGAAGTTGTGGTATTCAGATATGTGTTGCTCAGGGGCGGACTGGCCATTTGGAAACTCGGGCACTGCTCAAGGGCCCGGGGTCAGTAGGGGGCTCCATGAGATGCCCCCCTGGTACGTTTTTCATAGGCTTTTTTGAATTTGGGCAAGGACACAGGGGCCCCATGATCCCCTATTGCCCGAGGGCCCCATGAGTTGTCAGTCCACCCCTGGTTTGCTGTGGGAGTGCAAGGCTGAGCGTGCTGCAGGAGAGAGTGTCTGTATCCAGGGCTTCTGCTGATTAGTCAGGACTGTTACCATTACCCTGAGAGATTGTCAAACTCAGCCTCCCCCTTGTATCCAGTGACTCTGTTCCGGACACCCCAGGAGAGATAGGAATCTTCATGTTGGACTCCAAAGTAGTGAACAGCACTTGGCCACCATCTTGGAAACATTCCTGCTTAAAAGGACAGTACCACCTCCCTTTCTGAGATCCCAGAGATTTGTTTTTTTGGAGAGTTTCCCCTTTCTAGTAGGGATTACAAAACTCTGCTTAGAGTGCTCCACCGTAGATCTTGAGTCCCAACGCTTCCAATGAACACACTAGTTTGGGTGACCCTGGTGACATATAGAAACATGTCAGCGTGCTTTTTATGCCATTCCTGTATTACCGATAAAGTTTTCATAAGGATTTCGGAGTTTGGCGGTTTTTCCTGTTTCTGTATATTGCATCCAGTGTTGGGAGGATGCTTCAGAGCCTGAGCACCCGGGTTGGATCCCATTACTTTAATCAAGGCGTGTTTCCTGTTTGAGCGCTGCCTCTATGCTATTCTACTTGACCCTGGTGACACCCCAGGATTTCCTCTCGCTTCCTGTTTTGGCTATGGGACAGGGAATACTGAGAAAATCTCCTCAATGGGACACAGATAGCAAGATTAGGGTCCACAAGGTCTAATCTGTGCATTGAACCAGATTGATGGGTACCCAGGGGCGGACTGACCATTCGAGCACTCGGGCACTGCCCAAGGGCCCGGAGTCAATAGGGGGCCCCATGAGATGCCCCTGGTACCTTTTATAGGCTTTTCTTGGGTGTGGTTTGAGTGTGGGCAAGGACACAGGGGCCCCACGATCCTTTATTTCCGGGGGTCCCATGATTTGTCAGTCCACCCCTGTGGGTACCTGTTGCACCAGGCACTACCTCCCTTTTTTTTTTTAAACGCCCCCGGTAGGTAAGTGGTTGTAGTATTTATAACCTTGTTCTTATCCTGTTATACTTACGCGTTAGTCCTTTTATTGCAGGAAATGACTCAATATATGTGTTTTGCCGAATATACCAGCACTATATTGGGATCTGTACCTTTTGTGTTCAGAATTCATGTCTGTGGTCAAATAAAGCTCTACGTGATATGAATCTGTTCCATGTTGATGACACCAGCTCCTCGTCTCCGGATGCATTCTCTTCTAAACCTTTTACTTTAAGTATAGATAAAAGCAACGACCAAACCACAAGGAAGTGGTAACATCCGGTGATAAATGTCATCAGAAGCCCAAAGTGGATTCCTGGAGTCCTGCAGATGTCGAGGAACATTACTGCCTTTATGAGACAGCTGAGGAACCTTGGAGTCTCACAAATGTTTATTTTACTCAATGAACGTTTGTAGCCATAGTAGTGCACTTGCAGCAAAACAATTGACTGCTGTCCGTGTTTTTGTTTTATTAAGTTATATTTTCTGGACAAGCGTTCACGCTGTTGTGTTCTTCACGGTCCAAGCAGTACTTAAATTATGAAAAAATTAAAAAAAGTATCACAGATGGTAGATGTAGGACCAGGGGCGGACTGACAACTCATGGGGCCCCCGGGCAATAGGGGATCATGGGGCCCCTGTGTCCTTGCCCAAAGTCAAAGAAACCTATGAAAAAGGTACCAGGGGCATCTCATGGGGCCCGCTACTGACCCCGGGCCCTCGGGCAGTGCCCTAGTTTCCAAATGGTCAGTCCGCCCCTGTGTAGGACCCTCCTAGCGTAGGATGCTAGATAAATTTACTTGTTGGCTCCTTCTGTAATCAAGGGAACAATAATTGTTTGGCCTGGTCTGTTCAGGGTTTCATGGGCTGGGAATTCGATTGCTTTCCCTTGCCTCTAAAAGAAGCTTCTAGAAAACAGGGAGGGAGATTCAAATGACCAGCTTGCATATTTATCATGGCCTAGTCAATCCCTGGAGAGGAGTGTCCAGAAGGTGGCTGGGGATGTGATATTTAGTCTGAAGCAGGGGCGGACTGACCATTTGGAAACTCGGGCACTGCCCGAGGGCCCGGGGTCAGTAGGGGGCCCCATGAGATGCCCCTGGTACCTTTTTCATAGGCTTTTTTGAGTTTGGGC